AACAACAGATTAGGGAGAAATAGGAAACCCCAAATACACTGGAGTTAAAGCGAACGAAAAAAACAAGGGGTTGTTCAAAATGAAAAGGCGAAAGGGTGGACAAGAACCTGTTTCCGATTGTTGGAGAATAGACAAGTGAACCTGCCGTTGCACTTGACGGAACGCAAAACCGAAGTCCAGGTCTGAGTCGAGCTCGGCGCGGCCAGCTTCGGCGGGGCTAAGGTTTGCCGGAGGCGCGGGGCACGGATTTTGTAAGACGGTGGTGTTGGGGTTAGAGTTAGAATCTGCGCCATGGCTCCGAAGTCCAAGACTCCAAGTCCAACCTCCAAAGTACTGAGCTGAGATGAGATGAGATGAAAGGGCGGGGATCTGAAAACCGACCCACCGGATAATAACGGGCTTTAAACCCGATAATTTACGTTTGTAATGTATCCTGGTGCGAAGGTCAGCCGCTAGGTTGGGCTTGGATATTGGGCCATATCAATCATTTTCAAAATAAGACGCATAACTTTGCTTGGCCCGTACAGCTTTTAGAGTTTGTGTTGAACACATACATGATACACCACAAGCCCGCGATAAGTATGTCATCAATAAGTGAAATATATATAGAAATTATAAATTTTAAGTTTCCCTAATATTTGAGAAAATTTAAACTCACATCGGTGTTTGAAGGGAATTAATACTCAAAGTGGTAATTTCAGTGTCAACTTCCCATATTTTAATATTCATCTTTTTTTTATATTCAAATGCTAAACTAATCGTTAAATAGGTGAAAAATTTTGATTCAGACACTTTCTCTTAAGATTCTTGAACCACTCCCATGCGTTATGCAGTGACTCGTTAGGCAAATGAGCAAACGATGCCTACTAGGATCAGAGCTCTTGCGTCTTCTGATGCGAGTAATATCTTCCGATAAACTTAGAATAAACTTGCTCTCACGTCATGAGAGAATCGGGAGCCGGAGTCATGAACCATGCGTTGACTTGATCTTTTAGTGTTTTCGGGGAACATCTCGTCTTTAATTTGTCGGCATTCGACCAGTGAAGAGGAAATGTTTGAGGCAAGTTGCAAATTCCCAGATGAAATAGAGGGGTCTTCATTCGGGAGACCGTAAAAGGACAAAAGGTGGTTGTAGTGGACCATCTTGAGCTCGTAGTTCCAAGCCAATGTCTCAGAAGGACACACAAAGTTACTGGCCTGATTAGCGGTTGAGTCAAATCTCGTAAAAGATAACAAGGAGCCTGGTTATTAGCTCTGTCCCTGCCAATTTCATCCGACATATTAGTTTTTCCTTAACATTTGTTGTTCTAATCCATCTCATCTTTTTCTTCTTCCTCTAGTTGAATGGATTTGGGAGTGAGACTTTCTATAATTTCCCTCAAATCTTTGCTATAATTGTTTTTGAATGAAAACAATTGCAGCTAAACATCAGAAAGATTCAAAAGTAAATAAACAAAACACAAAAATAAGTAGAATAGACTCATAAAATAAGTCGAAGGCCTTCCCCAACAACGACGTCATTTTTGTTGTAGTTATTTTTATCGTAGATAATCTCAAGTTATTAATCCCCAAGTCATATCTCAAAGAAGGCCAACCAGAATAAATTTCACACATATTCGAATACAAGAAAATCAAATTAAATCATAAACACTCTAATTCAATTTGGTTGACTAATAATTTGAAGAAATTAAACGACTATAAAACCAAAGTTATTCCCCAAGGTTCCAAGGTGTTTTATCTCTCAAGGTCATAAGGCACTTCCCAAGATCCCCCAAGGTCCCAAGGTGCCTCCTAAGATGCCTACCAGGGCCTCAAGAAATTCCTCGAATTGCCGAGGTCTACAATGAAAACTTTTTCAGCCTGTCGTGGTCTAAAAAATTCATCCACGGATTACCAAGGTGTACAACGGAACTCCTCAGCCTACCAAGGTTTCCAAAAATTCGTCATTGGACTACCGAGGTCTACGACAGAAAATTCTTCGGCCTACCGTTGCCTCAAAAAGTTCATCTTCAGACTATCGAGGTCTATGATGTAACTCTTTGGCCTGCTGAGGTCTCCAAAAGTTCATCCTCAAACTACTGAAGTCTACAACGAAACTCCTCGACCTACCTAGGTCTTCGAAATTTCTTCCTCGACCTACCAAGGTCTACAAAAGAACTCCTCGGCCTATCGAGGTGTCCAAAAATTCGCACTCAGACTATCGAGGCCTACTACTGAAAATTCATCAGTCTACCGGAGTCTATAAAAATTGTCCTTGGACTACAGGTCTCCAAACATTCATTCTCGGACTACCTAGGTCTCGAAGGAACTCCTTGGCCTACCGAGGTCTCCAATATCCATCCAAATTATTCCTACCAATGTTCTTTAAGGTATCTATTAACGGTACAAACATCGACGAATGATAACTAGCTGCTTAAGATTAAGAATGAAGAAATAATAAATGGCGAGGAAAAATTACCTTGGTCTGAGGACTTTCAAAAGCTGTTGTTAAGCATGGAAATCAATGCACTTCCGAAAACTTTAGCTCTCTCTCTCTCTCTCTCTCTCTCTCTCTTTCTCTTTCTGTCTCTTTCTCTATCCAGAGACCAATGCTAAAGAAGATCAATGTCAAAATTAGGAAAGGAATAAGAATGAGACATTTTATAGCAAGCAACTCGAGTGTCTACATGTGCAGCAATATCAGATATCCACCAAACACAAATATTCATCTGAAAGTACCCCATCGTTTTTTTTTTTTGTACGCGTAAAAATTATCGTGCACATAATATGGGGGGCAAGTGATAAAAGAAAAATATACTTTAATTAGACAACACGTGGCTCGATAAATTAAAGGCACGTGTGTTCTAAGGATCGTAAGTATCCAAGGAAAAACTAAAGTCCAACATTAGTTTTGGGCCCAAAGTTCAGAGGAAGCCCAATTTCGAAACCTTGGTCTACCAAATGACTCGGTTGAGAGTCCTTCGTCCGCAGAGGGAAGACCTAGGTCGTCCAACCGCTATAAAAGTGTGACCTAGGTCAAAGTAATAATATTCTCTTCTCTTCTACACCTAATCTATAGCCGTTACTCTATAACATTTTTCTAAACTAAGCATCACATACTCTATCCTTTAAGACGACTTTCGGCTCTATTTTGCAGGTGTTGGCGCAAAAGAGTCTATGCTAAGGACGTCGGAAAACACATCACCGCCACATGTTCTTAAACTAATATCAAGTATTTTTTGTACCATGAAGCCTGTTAGGGTATTTGCCACAATTGAATTCAATTATCAATCCCAATTCAATTCAAGTTGTTATAAATGGAGTTCCAAAGGAATTGCTATTTTTTTTTACTATTAGTTTATTTATTTTATTTTATTATTGAAAATATTTTAAAACCGAACTAACTTTTTGGAAACCGATTTGTTGGTAACATAATATAAAGCGATTCAATATCAACTAGTGTGTGGCCCGTGCGATGCACGGGAAAATAATATTACAATTGTATTATAAATTAAATATATAAATAACATTAATCATGTTTTATCCATTGTTTTTAAATTAAACCGAGTTGGACACAGTCCGACTGGATGGATCGAGAATCGGTTTATAATCAGTCTAGTTCGCTTGAATAAAATATTTGCTCTTGAATCCGCCAACACCAGTCGGTTGGACTGGGAGGATCGATACGATTTTCTAAATAAATTTTGCTATGTTTAAAATTATTTTAAATAATATTACATATTTAAATAAAATAGAGATTTATAAATTATTTATCAATTAGTTTAAACATTTGAATTTATAAATTATTTATATATCTAAGTAACACATTTTATTTAAATTTATTACAAAAAGTACTATATCTATTAAAAAATCTGAACAAACCACAAATGAGTTAATAAAATAGCTTGATCGTTTCGATGACGGCCCAGTTCTGAACACCTTATATTTATTGTACATTAATAAATATTATAATAAAATATTATATAATTCACATAAATATTAATAAAATGATATATAAATATTCATAAATCATTAAAGATGTTGTCATAAAAGTATTGTTAATACGATTATTTGAAGTTTGGACTACATCACATTCACGTAATAAAATATTTTCAATATAAAATTTATATTTATGCTCAATAATCAATTTGGTGTGGTCGAACTGATACATAACTTAGTCCCCTGGAACCAACCAAGCTGTGTCAAATTTTTTACTATTTTAAATATCACCTAAAAGTAATTCAATCAACCTGGGAAGTACCCTAATTCAATCACCCGATTGATCCGAAGAAATTTTCTTATTTTATTTAAATAAATTTAATTTTATGAAATAAAAATATTTATGATTCATATAATAAATGTCTACACCAAATGATAGTATATTAAGATTATAAATTATATATCTATAGATGAATTATTTATTTTTATTTTATGCATATTAATAAAAAATAAACACAGTAATTTTCAAAAAGTTAAGAGTAATTGATTGATTATGCAATTAAAGAATATTGTTTGCGATCAATATTTTTTAAAGTCACAAATATAAAGACCGAGACTCTAAAACTTTTGTTATATTTTGAATTGAGATTTTATAAATATAGAGACCGATATTTTAATATTTTTCGTTGTTTTTAAGAAAAAAAATAAAAATAATAACATACACACTTAATAAATTTTAGCCAGATTTTTAAATAATAAAATAAATTAAAGCCCGAAATTTAATGTAGCATTTAATGTTGTATGATTTTTAAAGAAAAAAATAAGAAAATAATAAAACTTACTATTTATAGGCTGCATTAAATTCTGACCTATTATTTTGCTACTATTTTTAGTAAATAGTAATTCTTATTATATATGTATAGATTTGGTGGCATAATATAAAACGATTCAGTATCAATTTGAATATTTACAATACGGAACATTGTTGAATCGACCAATGTCCAGCGTTGTGCGAATCGATTCCACCTCTACTCAAACAGTTATACATACAATAAGAAAACAACTGACTCTTTTGTTAAGCAACATAATCGTTAAGTGTTTTACCAGTAATATTATTGTAGGAAAAATATATTAGGGTACGAAATATTATACTTTTATTTATTTTATTTTATTAATGTTAATTTAATAGGTATAGTGTTTCTGATGCCTATAGAATTTTTTATTTCATACTTTTATTTATTTTTATTTTGTTAATTTTAATTTGATAGGTATAGTGTTTGTACTTTGTGATGCCTACATATTTTCTTTGATATTTTCTTTCCAGACGGTATCTTTTGTAGTTTAGTCATCATTCATCATTAGCAAGAAAACAAGATTGTAAAAAGAACTTAATGAAAGCAACCAACTAACATTTCCTTCCTAGATTTATCAGTTGTTGACCAAACCTTAGCGCCACACCACCAAGAATACATTTGCCCCATCCATAATTTGTAAGTCCCCAAAATATCCCTGGAAAATAATATCACCACTCAACGCCAAAGCATGGGCACGACAGTCATTCCGCACGAAACTCGAAATCAAGCGCTAAATCCCAGAATCAGAACACTAATTTAAGTTTAAATGTAGTAATAAATTGTAAAGGACGATAGAATCCAACTCACCAATCCGGTTTCCAATTTTACCCTCCATAGATGTCCTACAGCATGCCGACTACAGACAATTATTCCAACCCTACCGGGGATAAAATGGTCATTTTGGTTTCTGAAAAGAAGTACATTTTCGTGACTACTACATATTCTGAAAGAGATAAAAGGGGTTTGCTCAGACGAGAGAGAAAGGGAAAAAGAAGAAGACGGAAAAGAGAGAGAAAGGAGCCGTTCGAGTGGTCCGTCTCAAATCTCAATCTTCCGTTCGCGAGTGAAGAAGGAATTTATATGATAGTAGCCGGAGCATAAAAACCATGGTGTCGGACCAAGAGATAGCCAATGGCGTGGAGACGGTGATCAATCAGTCGGACCCGAACGCCGCCACCTCGCTAAACGGCGTCGTTCAGCAGCTGGAGGCCAGGCTAGGGGTCGACCTCTCGCACAAGGCGGAATTCATCAGGGACCACATCACCTTCTTCCTCCGCGCGAATCCCGTCTCCAAAGGCCAGCTGCCCCCTCGGTCTCCGTCCCAGTTTTACCCTAACGCGCTCTTCCCCCAGCAATTTCACCAGCCTAATTTCTCCCTCCACCAACAGCAGCAGCAGCTGGCGCCGCCGCCGCCGCCGCGCGCGATCCAGCAGACGAGCCCTGCCTATGCGCCGCCGCCCTCGCAACTCCAATGGCCGCAGCCGTACCCAGCGCAACCGTTGAAGGAGGTGAACGCGGCAGGGAATGCTTCGGATACCCCTAAAGGAAGGTGAGCGCGCGCGCGCGTGTGTATGTGTGTTGCGTTTTACGGAGTCGGAGGTCCTTAGGGTTTTCTTCAGATTACAATTTAGCTCGTGTGAATTAACTTAGGTCTTTTAGCTTTGACAGTTAGCAGGAATTGGTGATTTGTTTCCTTTTGTTTCTTTTATTAGATTAAACTCTGCGGACACACGATTGGCTTTCAGCTGATTTCGGTTACTGGTTAGGTATGAAATTAGGGTTCTTGGTTGGTTTCGATGACGTATCTGCCCGAGATGGGTGAAGTTTATTTTTTTCTTTCTTTTTTTAACATTTTTATTTTTCAATATTTTGTTCGAACTTATTACTAGCCTACCCCGACTTGCTTGGGACTAAAGGCTATGTTGTTGTTGTTGTTTGTTTGAACTTATTAGCGGATATAGTGGTTTGTAATGTTTCTTACAGTGTCTTGGTATTCATACTCTTCATAGTTGACTTGTCTCTGTAGCTTAGAGTTGAGAGTTATAGCTGAAAGTCTTTTTCATTGTCTAGTTTGCAATAGGTTATTGCATCTTAAAGTTCCCATGTTTGGGGGAATATTCGTCCTGGAAGAAAGTCGGGATTCATCAAATAAGAAATTACGTGTAATCTTTTTATAGTACTGTTTTTACTCTCGCGTAAGTACACAACTGAATGGTTAATGACAGCTGTGTAAAAGTTAGTTTTCTTGTCTCATCTGTTCAGCATGATAATATTCGGCGTCCACTCAACATGCAAAATATGCTCTTTTGAATGGGCGCATGTGGCTAGCTAGCTTACTTCCGTATCAAAAAACTTTGAGTGAACATTTAATTATATGTTCTGGAGTTAATTTCAGTTGGGATCGTCAAAAGTTGAGTTCTTTATGAGAAGATAAAGTCCATTCATTCGGAGTTGCATGACAAATGTGAATGTCAATTGATTCTACTGGTTACTGTATTTTTTTCTGCAGAGCCCCAGCTGGAACCAAAAGAAGAGGCGGTGCAGGAGGCCTGAACAAAGTATGTGGCGTTTCACCTAAGTTACAAGCCATTGTTGGGGAGCCAGCATTACCAAGGACGGAGGTTTGAATCCCAAGATTAACTAGCGTAACTGATTTGAAGATCAGGATTAAGATCAGGATTATTTTTGTTTATTTGTCCATTTTATATTTAAATGCTTAAGTGCAATTCATTTGGTTTGAATCCAGATAGTGAGGCAGCTGTGGGCATACATTAGGAAACATAACCTTCAGGATCCAGCGAACAAGAGAAATATTATCTGTGATGATGCTTTAAGATTGGTCTTTGAAACAGACATCACTGACATGTTCAAGATGAATAAGTTGCTGGCAAAGCACATCTTGCCGCTTGATACAACAAGTATGAAAGATGCGAATGAGAGAGCATTAAAAAAGTTATTTGGCAAATATTTATTTCTAACAGTAAGAAATTAAAACTTGCAGAACAACTGGATCAATCTAAGAAATTGAAGGTTGAAGATGATCCTGAGAAGCAAGACCCTAATTCTGGTGATATTCCTGTGACGGTATCAGATGCACTTGCGAAATTCTTTGGACCGGGAGAAAGAGAGATGCTTCAGTCAGATGCTTTGGGCCGTGTCTGGGAGTACATAAAGGTTAACCAGCTGGAGGTTAGTGATCTAAAAGAATTCAGATGTGATTGATGTTGCATTAATGTTACGTCCATTCATGTTTGTTTTGTATCGTATTTACAATATGGTAACAGAATTTACTGAAAGATGTGTATTTATTTGTTTTTGGAATATATGCGGTGTGAAAATCAAGTGTTTTTTATTCACGATACTTTTTTGTTAGTTTGAAGATTGTCCTATGTATCTATTGAAGCAAAATTGATTCATCCACTCGGACTATGTATTACTGAAATTTATTACTTTT